AGGGGGGCTGGGCCAATGGGGGTGGGGTGGGAGCAGAGGCCCCACCTGCCCTCCTCACCTTTCCGTGGTGCTGGGCTGACTCTCCCCAAACGCCCTTCTCCACCAGCTGCTGCACCAGGAGAGTAACACCATGTCCCTCTCGGCCACGCTGTGTCTGAGCGGTGCTCCCACCCCCGAAAATATACCAGGCAACGTATGTTCAAGTGGCTTTGGACGTGGTTTTCTGGCTCCTGGAACGCAGCATCCTAAGGAACACCCCTTTCTTTCTTTTCTTTTTTTTTTTTTAATGTCCTTTTTTTGAGACCGGCGCACTGCGCTCAGCCAGTGAGCGCTGTGAGCGCACCGGTCATGCCTATATAGGATCCCTACCCGCGGCGGGAGCGCTGCTGCTCTCCCGAGTGCGCCACGGGCTCGCCCCGGGACACCCCTTTCTGATTTGATGCCCACGCCCTGCTTGCTCTCCTAGCTGAATCTTCCCTTTCCTCCAGGCACCCCATCTCCCGCCTCCTTCACGACAGGCACCCCCAAGTGCGGACTGTGCCCGCACTAGAACATCCGCTGTGGTCCTCCTGTCGCTGCTCTACCCCCTCCTTGGACAAGCGTCTTTAAGTACCTGCTCCCCAGCGTCCTGCCCCCCCCCCACCGTCTACCCTGCAGCCCCACCTCTCCCTGCTCCTTTTTCTTCTATGCACTTGTCGCCACTTCCTTCCCATCTCTCTTGCTCACTTATTTCGTGTATGGTTTTTCTGCTCCACAGGAACGTGACTTCCACGGGGCAGAGATTTCCGGTTTTGTTTTTGTATTTTTTAAGTTTTTATCCCTAGTGCTTATGCAAGACCTAGGAGTGGTAGGTGCTCGCTAAATCTTGGTTGATAAATGACAGCCGCGGAGCTGACTGGGGTTAGGGAGCCCTGCCGCCTTAGGGTGTGGCAGTGAGAGGGCCCACCCCTTCTGCCTGCTCCGTGGGGACCAGAGGACGGTGTGCCTGGAGGACGAGGACTGCGACAGTTGTCCTCCGTATGGGCCTCACCCCAGGCCCTTCCAGGGGTGGCCCCTGCAGGGAGGGAACCAGGTCCCCTCCTGGCCCCACCTCCTCACCTCATTGGCACCTGCCTGGCAGGTGGGGGAAGGAGGAGAGAAGCAGTCTCTCAGCAGACAGGAGGGCTGGGGGGGGGGGAAGAGAGAGGGGCAAGCGGCCTTTTGACTCGCGCCTGACTGCTCAAGGCTGCCTTTCCCAGACCAGGTGCCCCGGAACACCAGGTCAGGAACAAGAGCGCCAAGTTGGACACACCTATAGGAGCAAAACTGAATCTGCTTCCACACTGCGGGCTTTCAGTCTTTAATTTGCAAATCTGCTGTGCGGCTTGGCCCTTCAGACCCCACAAAGGCTAGGGCAGCTGGGCGGGGGCAGCCAGGGCTGGACTGAGGGGGAGAGCCCCCCCCCCCGTCTTCCCTCCTTCCTTCCATTCACCTAAGACCTGGGGGTGTATCCAGACTCCAAGGGAGGGAGCCTGACACGCGGCCGTGACTCATCCTGGAGGAAGGCAGGGTCTACCCACTCGAGCCGCAGGGGACAGGCGCAGCGGCCAGGCCCAGGGACATTCTGCGCGGCTTGGGGGACAGGACTGCGCCTCCCACAGCCCCTGTGTCCTGGAGGACAGGCATACTCTGGCCCTGCCCCGGGTCGGACCCGACTTGCACACTCTGGGAAAGCATGAACTATCTGGAGCCAGTGGCCGACTTTCTGCCCCGCCGCGGCCCGCCTCCGCCCCTGGGGCGGGCCGGGGGCGGGGACCGGGGTTGCTCACAGCCGTCCGCGGTTGTGTGCTCAGTTGGAGCCTGTCTCTGGCGCTCTGAGGTCACCGCGCTCCAGGTCTCCCACAGCCCAAGTTCTTGGCTTGGAGATCTCCCGTCCCCCGAGGTCTCCCGCAGCCCGAGGTCTCCGCGCTCAGAGGTCCCCGCGCCCCGAGGTCTCCCGCGGCTTGAGGTCTCCGCGCTCCGAGGTCCGGCGCCCCGAGGTCTCGGGCCGAAGGTCTCCGCGCCACCATGCGGCTGAGAAGGTGAGCCGGCGTGGGGACGGGCCCCGTGGGTGCGGGCCGGGGGTGGAGGAGCCGCAGTCAGAGCCGAGAGCGCTCCGGTGGCCGCGGCCCGGGACCCGCTCGTTGCGGCTCCGACGCGGTCTCGCCGGCTCCTCCCAGGCTTGCCGGCTGGGGGCGTGACCGGCAGGGGGCGGCGAAGGCCGGCCCCTCGGGAACCGCAGTGGTGCGTGGCGCGCCCGGGGCGGGTTTCTGCGGAGGGAAGAGCGGGAGAAGATTCTGGAAGGAGAGAAGACGCGCCCCACACCCGGGCACAGGTGCGGCGCTTCACTCCTGCCCGCTGACTTCCCAAAAGGTGGAAGGAGGAAGGATATGACCAAGCTGTGGAAACACCAAGGCCCCCCATGCACGTGGGACTCCTCCACACTGCCCCCCTTCTCTTCACAACCCCCCAAATCCCCTGACCCGCTGTCCCTCAGCAGATCCGAACTGAGGAAGGTGGGGCTGCCCGAGGGCTGGCATAAAGACAGCTTTGCTCTCTGGCTTTTTGCCAAAATAGGGTACGTTGTAAGTCGCAGCCTGGGCCTCCGTTGGTGAGCTGGTGAGGCACTCCCTCCCCAGGTGTGCCACCCACACAGTCCAAAAGCCTGCCCACACCTGGGTCACAGCCCAGTGTCACCCAGTTAAAAGTGTGTAGTTAAGATCATTCCCTCAAAAGAGAAACAAAGTACCGGAATGTTATAGCTGTCAGCCACCCACACCCTGGAGCAGGTGACCCTGTTTGTGCTGGGGCTGGGGACAGGCTGGGGTGTGGGGGGCAGTTGGGAGAGTTAGATAGCAGGGGTCCAGGAGGGCCCCAGGGGAGGACCAGAGAGGGTGCTGGGCGGGCAGCACCCAGGGAGGGGGACAAAACAGTCTCCTCTGAAGAGCCCCACCCCTAGAAAGCCCCCAGATGTCCTGAGGGAGGCCCCTCAGACAGGGTGGACCTTGTGAGCCCTCAGTGGACGTGGACACTGTGGGAGCAAGATGGGGGACCATAGCTTTGCGTTTTAGAAGGTTACTCTGGCTGTGGAGAAGATGGCCAGAGGAGTCAAGACTGGAGGCAGGGGGTCCAGGGGAGATTATCACAGTGGTTCCCCCAGCCAAGAGTGGCATGCCCAACAGGGGAAGTGGGGGAGAGGAGAGCCCACCCGCAGGCCACAGGGTGTGGGGTGACCCAGGGGCTGGTTTGAGTGCGTGCGTGAGGTTACTTGGTGTGGGGTGTATCTCCAAACAGACTCATGACAGCTGTCCTGGGCAGGGCAGAGGACTTGGGGCTCTGGAGCTCAGGGGACGTTGGGAGGGTCCCATGTGATAAGTCCTTTTCACCCAGGAAGCCCCTGAGGCTTTCTAGGCAGTGGCTGAGAGAGGAGGGTTGAGGGTCTTCCAGACACTGGAAGTGCAGGGACATCCCAGAAGAGAGGTGCACCAGGTCCCACCCAGGGGCTGCCACCTCATGGGAGTCAGCCCCAGAAGCAGAAAGTTGTGCTGTGACTGAGGCAGCCCAGGCCACTGTAGAGAGGAGGGCCCCGCCCACCAGAAGGCATCTGGGAGGCCCGAGCAAGGTGGCAGCGGTGGCGGCGGTGGCGGCAGCTAGGCTGAGTCCTGTGGGAAGGGAAGACGGCCGGGCTGAAGATGTCAGGAGCCTTGGAAGTCAGGAGAGGGATTTGCCGGCCCCCGGGCTGCCGCTGGAGGATCTGAAAGGAGGAGCTCACCCCGTTGGTTTCAGAATGAGCGTGTTCCTCCATGGGGGCTGTCTGGTAACTCGCCTGTCCCCGCCACTGGGCAGGACGGATGTTTTCTGTCTCCACAGCGTTTCAAATGAAGCTGCTGCTATACATACCCCGCAAGCTGTTTTTCTTCTGATTTCATACAGTTTCTTAGGATCCATCCCTGGAAAGGCTAGGCCGCCGGGGTCAAAGGCGTGGCCTTGGTGATGGCTCTTGCTAGCCACGCTTTCTCATCACACACTCTCATTGTCTTTCAGGGGATCTGGTTACCTCGTGAGCTGGCAGGTTGCCCAGAACTGCCAGCTCCTCAGCCTTGCTATGCCAGGCAGGGAGGTTGGTGGTCCTGGCTCCTCTCCTGGAAGTCCCCGCAGAGAAGTCAGGCCTCCAAGGCCACTGGGCTGGCTCACAGTGGTGTATTCTCATTTCTGGGATGGGAGTCACCTGCTCCCTGCCTGTGGGAACCAGCTTGCTCCTGGTTGGAGGAAGCAAGTAACACACCTGCGGCCCTGTCTCACCTGCCTTTCTGCTTGTTTTCTTCCAGTCCTGGACTACTTCTACTGCTGCTCAGTGGCCTGCAAGCTGGTAAGTTCAGATGGTGCTTTGCCTCAGGCGTGAGGACCCAGCTCAGAGATGAGCTTCCAAGCCCTTTAGCTGCTGAGCTGTGGGGACTGCCAGGTGCAGGGTGTTAGGAGTGATCTCACCATGGTCCCTCTTACTTTTCGAGGGGCCAGTTTGAGAAAGCTGGACCCCCAAGCCTAGGTTAACATGTGGGATTGAAGGCCAGGAAGGGAAATGCTTTCCCAAACTCTGTAGTTTTTGTTTAATTTTGTGATTGGCGTAGGTAGGATATGGTTCTACCAAGCCAGGGCTTCTGTCTGTCTTGGTCTCTTACCCCAGTCTGCTCTGTTGGGCCCTAAAAGCCACCAGCTTCTGGAAGTGCCAGGAACAGGGACGTGGCACAACATTAGAGACCCAAGGCCTTGCTGAGTCTTCCAGCCCAGAGGTGTTAGGATCAGTGGACACGGCCACTTTCCTGTATGCACTGAAGTGGTTGGACACACAGTAAAACTGTGTGTGTTACATGACCTTTTCTGATGAGTGTGAGTAGCATTACAATGTTGTTGAGAAATCGTTTTCCTTTAAATGTCTGAATTTTTAAAAACTTCTTATTTTACGTTAATCGTAGGTTCCCAAGAAATAGCAAAAATAGCACAGAGTGGCCGGGTCCCATCCCCCAGGTTTTCACATCAGGGTGGTATACTGCCAAAGCCGGGAGACAAAGCAGCGTACCGCTGAACATCTGAATTCTTAGAGTGTTACTGCACCCTCTGTGTGTCTTATTAATAAATTACTTTTCTGTGTAAATGAATCAGAATTGGTGTTTGAGACTTGCAAGTAGGAAGCCCGCCTGCTTAGAGGAACTCCATGGTGAGGAGTCAGCCTTGCAAAATAAATTTTGGCTTTTTGAGTCATTGCAGGTATTCAGGAAAGGGAAGTCAGAGCGATGGTGGGCAGCGACGTGGACCTCGTCTGCACTGACCCGGAAGGAAGCCATTTTGATCTGAATGACCTTTTTGTTTACTGGCAAATCAGTGAGTCGAACACTGTGGTGACTTACTACCTCCCTGAAAACACCTCCACGGACCACGTGGACAGCCACTACAAGGACCGCGCCCGGCTCTCACTGGCTGGCATGGAGCAGGGCAACTTCTCCCTGCGTCTGTTCAACGTCACTCCCCACGATGAGCAGAAGTTTCGCTGCCTGGTGTTCAGCAAATCTTTGGAATTAAAACAGGTTTTGGAAGCTGTGGTCACATTGCACGTGGCAGGTAAGACCATCAATGCTAAGAGATCTGATTTCATCCCAGCCTTAGATCCTGGGAAAAGTATTAATAAAACCCCTTTTCTGGCTCATTCGCCTGTTTCTTCCTGTGAAGAAAATCATAAACTCTGTGAGTGGGCTGCTGTTCACCCACATGTGCAGCTGAACTGGTTGAAAAATCATTCATCCCATGAGAGAGTTCTCGGCAGTCCAAAGCAGACCTCCCATGCTGGCTGCCCTTGCCTCAAACTCCCCAACCAACTCAGACTAGACTTGTTTGTTTGTTGGAGGCTGGTGGTTGTGGGGATCGGAACCCTTGACCTTGGTGTTATAACACTGTGCTCTAACCAACCAAGCTAACAATCCAGCCCTAAACTAGACTTTTAAAAATGAAATTAGGAGGGAGTGCTATAAAACACTAAGTGAGATCAGAATTTAAGAAAAAAAGGCAACCAAGGAGCTGAGGGCAGTGGGGAGACGGGCCGTGTCCGTTTCAGATGAATTGCGAGCTCTCTACGTACCAGCGAGAAGTACCAGGTCAACATGAGGGAGGGGGGCTGTGGGTGCCGGTCACTGCCTGCCAGGCTCAGTAGCTCCCCCTGTTTTATTGGGGTTGTTGGGGGGATGACTCTTGGTCTGCTACTCAGACCACAGCCCTAGTCCTGCCTCTCCACCAGGGTCAGGGCATGGTGGGCTGCTCCCCCTCTGACTGGCCCTTGGCACCACATACCCATCCGTTTCTTGACCTGGAGAACCCTGGCATCCCTCATCATGTGTTTCCCTCCCATGCAGCGAACTATAGCATGCCTGTGGTCAGCACTCCCTACAGCCCGACGGAGGACGAGGAGCTCACCTTCACGTGCACTTCCACAAATGGCTACCCGAGACCAAACGTGTACTGGATCAACAAGACGGACAACAGCCTGCTGGATGAGGCCCTGCAGAATAGCACCGTGTCCTTGAACACGCGGGGCTTGTACGACGTGGTCAGCGTCCTGAGGATCCCGCACACCCCCAACGTGAATGTTGGGTGCTGCATCGAGAACGTGCTTCTGCACCAAAACCTGACTGTCAGCAGCCAGACAGGTAACGTGCTTCAGGCTCTACACGCTGACCCCAACCCAGGATGGTGGGGCCATTGGTCACTTGGGAAAACTTGCAGGCAGGAGACAAGTCCCTGCAAGTTGACTCAGCAGCAGCGTCAGAATGGTGTCTCTAAAGGAAGCAGCCCAGGTTGCTATGATGGAAACCACCAGGGTTGCTGGGGACAGGAACAGGGCCTCTGATGTGCATTGCTCAGCTCAGTCTTCATTGTGGATCCATTTTACAGATGAGGGACTGAGGCTCTGAAAGGCTGGGTCAGGTCTCAGAAGCCCAGGACTAGGCTGCAGCGTCACAGGGGAAGCCCACACCCGCGCAGTCCCCACTATGCTCTCTGCCTCTAGGCCTGCCCCTTTGGGGAGACCAGAACCCTGAAACAAGGGAACCCACCGGGCCTGGCTTCTGGCTCCAATTGTCCCCGGAGCAGGGGTGCAGGTGGTGAAGCCTTCGCAGAGGCCACAGGCTCTCCCAATCTATGTTCCCATCACCAGTGTAAGATGAGAGGCAGAAGCTGGTGGTGGGAGATGCTCCGGGAGAGGGGTCTCTGGGCTACCACTCACAGAAAAGAGGCCAGCAGGACCCACTACAGAACCCATAGGCCTGTGCAAAATGAAGATGCAGGCTCCTTGCTCAGAAAGTATCAGGAATCCAAGACAGTCACAGCAGATTGTGACGCCAGGTGCAGGCCCTTCTGAGCTCAGTCGTGAGTCTGTGCAGGTGCACACCATGAAGCTAGCCTTGGCCACCAGGGTTCCCTGCAGGGCCCAACACCTCTTGACTCAGGGTGCAGCCCTGTGACTGGGTGTTCATGGTCTCTTAGCCTGCATGGACCAGGACAAGGGCTGCCCCAAAAGCCTGTCTCTGACAACTGCCCTCCAGCCAGTGTGCCCCTGGTGCAGCATGGGAAGGTGGAGCAGAAGGGTCTCTCAGGGCTGCACAGGGACCATCTGGGCAGCCCACGAAAGGCCCCACGCCCAGACCCACTGGATCAGACCCCCTGGCTGGCACCTGGCACCAAGATAGTGTTTGAAAGCCTCTGTTGAGTCCACAGTTGAGCTGCTGTCTGGGTGGTGGTTCTCTGGGTGTGTCTGCAGACACTGGACATCTGTCACATGCTCCCTGGGGCATGTGGCTGCGTGTTTGCCCTAGAGAACTGCTCTCTGAGGGGCAGAGGAGGTGCACATGAAGACAGGAGGGTGGAGCCTTCATGCGCTGCTGGCGGGAGGTGAAGGGAGGCCGCTGCTGTGCGGGGCAGTCTGGCAGTTCCTCAGGAGCTGAACGCAGAACTCCAGAGGGACCCAGCGTCTCACTCCCAGGGATACGGCCAGAGCATTGAAAGCAGGGACTCAAACACACACCTGTCCACGAATGTTCATAGCAGCACTGTTCACAACTGCCAAGGGTGGACACAGCCCAAGTGTCTACCACAGATGAATGGACAAACAGACCGTGGTGTGTCTACACAATGGAATCTTACTCAGCCATGAAAAGGAATGCCGTCCTCATGCGCAGAGGAGCATTGAGGACATTACCCGAGTGAGAGAAGCCAGGCATGAGAGGCCATACATTGTGTGATTCCGTTCGTCTGATGTGTACCGAGTGGGTGAATCCATAGGGACAGAAAGCAGATGTGGGGTTGCCCGGGGTTGGGGGACAGGGGAGATGAGGAGGGACTGCTAATGGGTATGGGGTCTCCTTTTGGGGTGCTGAAAAAGTTCTGGAATTAGGTAATGGCTATGGTTACCCTACATTGTGAATGCACGAAATGTCCCTGTGTACTTTAAAATGGTTAATTCTATGTTATGTAAATTTTACCTCCATTAGAAAAATCCAGGAAGAGCCTGTGAGTCCTCCATCCCCCTCTCCCCCCGTGTGAGCCCTTCGATTGGGGCTGGGATCACACCTCTCACAGGTGGGACGGGTAGGAGCGAGACCCCTGGAGGAGAAGGAGCCTCCTCTGTGAGAGAAACCCTCCTCTCCACCCGCCTTGTATTTAAAAAAACCACAAAATCATGTCAGTGAAGTTCTGTGGAATAAATACTTCCCTGAGGAAATTCTCCTCTGAAGAATGAAAAAAAGGCACTTTTCTCCAAAACCCTTAAGTCTTGGGTATTTTCCTGTTTCTCATAGAAACTTTTATCGGAACCACAGACAGGATCTCAGAGAACCCAGGTGGTGCCCACGAGGAGAAGACTGTGGCTGGGTTCAGCGTCTTTGCCGTCTTGTTTGTGCCTGTGGCCGTGGCTGTTGGCTGGGTGTACAGAAGCCGATGTCACCACAGAAGCTACAGAGGTATTGGCACACATTTAATGTTTATTGTGTGGGTGTGAGCATTTTGCCTTTTTAAACTTCCTAGCTCTGTCCGATGTTAACTTTGTTAGAAGTTTAGTTTTAGTAGCATTAGCATTCATGAGCATTAACCACTCAGACACTCCAAGGAGGTGGATTTGAAGCCCAGGCATCTCTTAGGCGCTGTGTTCCTGATACAGCCAAGCCAGAAAGGCGCTGGAAGCAGTCCAGGCGCTCAGGTTCGGGTGGGAATGATGGACTCTGAATGTAGAGGTCAGGACAGAGTTCGTGTCTGTGGGAGTCGATCAAGGCTGTGTCAGCCCCCGACCGGGCTGTCTTGTCTGTGATCTTGGCAGCACCAGGATGGACGCAGGCAGTCCGCATTCACCATGTGAGGCGCAGCAGCAGGGCGTGCTGTGGAGGGTGGGAAGCCCTGCACAAGGGCCATGAGGGTGGTCCTGTAATGACGAGGTGCGGCTCTTCCTGGACACCCCCCGGGGGAGTGGAGCAGCAGCTAAACGGAGCCCAGTGGCTGCTGGGTTAGAGTCAGTCCAAGGCTGGAGCTGCCCTGATGGAAGCATCTGTCCTGCTCTTGTGTGCACTGCTCTTGGGGTTCCCATTTAGCCAACACCGGTCATCCCAGAAAAACTTTCTGCCTCCCACAGGCCAACTGTTCACCCGGCCAGGCTAGGGAAGGGACCCCCAGGCCCAAGACACCGGGCATTTTAAATACTTCTCACACACACCCATTAACACATGTTTCTCAAAAGTATGGTGGCCCGGGAGCCCCTCATCTGGAAGTCCATTCCCCACCTGGAGCCGGGTGCCTCGGGGGAGCCATCCAAGCAGAGGGTAGTGGGCGCTGCCAAGGGCTCCGGACCACTGGGCTCTTCAATGCACCCCTACCCCCCACGCCACTGCCCTGAACCTCTCTGGTTGGTCTTTCAGGTGCCCAGGCTGCGGTGCCAGCGCTGGAGCTCACTGGTGAGTGTGCCTCTGTCCCAGGCATGCCGCTGGCGGCCTACAGGCCTCCAAGGGCAGAGTTGTTTCCTTTAAGCCACTGCTGTTTCCAGAGCTATGGTGGTTCCCTCCCTGCTCCCTTGGGCAGATGTCACGTCCTGTGTGTGCTCTCTAGCACCATGTGATGGCGTTTTGTGAACACACAGCAGTGTGACCCACCTCTTCCCGAGCTCCACCATGGTCAGCAGCCCGGCCTTGCTGCCCAGGGCCTCTCCTCAGCACTCCCCATGGGTAGTCCAGACACCATCCATGTGTCTGATAGAATAGTTGTCACCGCATCTCTCAGGTGGCTCATGGCTGCTGGTGGAGATGCACCCCTCACAGTCCCAGGAGCAGTAGTAGGTGTGGACTCCTGTCCCAGTTTGGGAAAATTATCGACACGTGGAGCTGCCAGTTACCCACCTGGCAGTTGTCTTGGCTGTGAAGGTGGATGGGTTTGCATTTGGGTGGCCGGGCTCATCACCTGGTCAGCAAGGGGACCTTGCTGTACCCTGTTTCTCCATCCACGAGAAGGGGCTCCCCGTGGGCTTGGGGGTGTGGTGTGATAGGTTACATGACTTTCTGCAGGAGCCATGCCCCCCAATTTCAGATAATGCTGGAAGACCCCTCACTAGACAATCAGGGCCTGCCTGTTCTTAATGGAGCCAGCGAAGCACATGCTCTGGTCATGGCCCTGGTCGGCTCTCAAACCCAAGTCCTGAGAAAGTCCATCCCTCTGGCTTTGAAAGGGCAAGGTGTGGGCACCAGCGCTTCACACCCCTCTTTCTCTCCTCTTTCTTTCCAGACCAGGTTTGACGGGAGCTCACACCCAGGACGTGGGTGGGGCTTCTGTGGATGCCACCGCGCCCGTGTGAGTGGCAGCTTGAGAATGGACTTGGACAGGCTGGTGGCAGAGGTGCCCCGGGTGTGCCATCACAGGACAGGAGCCCGGGCTGGAAGGGAGGCGTGGCCCCTTGAAAAGGTCAGCAGTGGAACACAAGTATCCCCACGTGAGTGGGCGCCCCACCTATGCTGCCAAACCAAGACAAGAAGGGGGTTCTGAGCACTCATGGAGCTGGTGTAACAGCCCCAAGCTCTCCTCGGTATCCCAGACCCATGCCACAGGACGCGTGGTTTCTGACACTGAAGGAAGGGTGTCCGGTTTGAAAAGAGGAGTGAGGTTGCCCACTCTGTTCCAGGATCTCTGTTCCATCTGGAGCCACCCGAGGAGGTTTGCAGGAGACATGCAAGTGCAGGGAATGGGCAACACTGAAAAACCCCGGATGTTCACTGGGAAGAAAACCTGAACTCACGTGTTTTAGTCAAAAGCTAATTTGCTCTCCTAGAAGCGCACAAGTGGGATTTTGCCAGAAGAAAGTCTGCTCCTGGGGCCAGCATGGGCTGGACGTGGGGGTCTCCGAGCTCTTGCTGTGAGGCATGGAAGAGAGACACCTCTGAGAGGAGTGAAAACACAGCTCAGCTGGGACTGCAAACACGCATGTGCAGCAGACACGGGCTTTGCCACGTGGTCGTCAGAGTCCTTCCAAGCAGGACTGAATGAGCGCTCAGTGGCCAAGCTGAGGGCACCAGTGCTTGTTACAGCAGATTGTGTTTCTACCAAAAAAGTCCCCACACGGGCTTTTAAGTGGGTGTGAGGAGGGTTCCACCCAAACTTTAATGTGAAGGCATCAGGAGATCTGTGTTGTTGAGAGAGCGTCATTGTCACTGTCAGCCTGAGTAGGCATATGGAATGGAGATACATGGGCTGCTTGGAGATCAGGGAGTGGGGGAGCAGGGAGTTAGGGAGTGGGAAGTTGGGGTGCAGGGATTTGGGGAGCAGGGAGTTGGGGTGCAGGGAATTGGAGTGTGGGAACTTGGTGCGGTGCCCATTCGCAGCAGCTGTGAAGGGATTCCAGGATGGGCCCGTTGGGCAGCCGTGCTTCCCCAGGAGTCCCTGAGCACTGAGATTGAGGGTCACAGCCCACCCCTCCACCTGGAGGCCTGATCCTCAGCAGACCCTGAGCGTCCCCTGGAGATGCTCAGATCCAGGGATTTCACAGGCAGGATGGTGGCAGCTGAGCAGGGAGACTGAGTCTGCTGGCTCCACCTTTTCCTATGGGGTGCTGTTTTCCTACTCCAGGGGGAACAGGCAGGAGGCAGCTGCCCAGCTGCACCATGGGCCTGCGGAAGCTTCTACCCCTCACACCCAGGGACGGGGGGAGGGGGCGGTCCTGATGGCTGCTGTCATGCCACATGATGGCAGGTTCTGCCTGGACCCTGGGTTCACAGGGGTGGCTGCAGCCATGCCCCCTGTGGCCTGGTGCCCTGAATCACCATCTCCCTGCTGGTCCTGAGCCCTCAGCCGCGGCCCTGACAGCCCCTCCCTCAACACCTTTCATCTTTCCCAGAGGTGGGAGCTGCTCTGCTCTGGTGCTTGGGACTCTGGAAGACTGCCCAGCATGTTAGCATTTGTGAGCCTTGTGCCTTCAGCCTGAAACATCGCAATTTGCCCTATATTCTGTGTGATAGGCTGAATTCCAGTGTTTCGACAGCTAGTTCCAGAAACCTGACTTAAGAGAACACAAGATGTAAACTACCTGTGTCTGGTGGCCTCTGTCAGTATGGCGAATCCCTGGTGCAACCAGCTCAGCTGTCCTTGTGGCTGGGCAGTGACAGGACCATGTGTTTCCACTGCTGTTCTGGGGAACCTGCCCTTGCACCGGTGGTTCTCACCTGGGGATGGTGGCTCTGGAACAGCCATCCAGGCCTGGGCACCCCAAGAGAAGGCCACTGTGCAGGTCCACTGCTGACTGGGTGTCACGATGCTGGGCAGGTCAAGAGCCACAGGGTGGTCTCCCACTCGAAGTCCTCCTGTGGAGCCTGCCGTCTTGGGGCTGAGTCCCACTGTCTGGCCCTACAGCAGCACATCTGTCTTTATCTCTCTCCAAGCCCAGATTTCTAAAACAGAACACCTCTAACAAGAGGGCATCTGTTCTTATGGTCTGGGAATAATTTTGTCCCTGGCGACCCATTCCCCTCCCACAGCCCAGAGTTTAGGAACCCTGGGGGGTGTGGTCTTACCATGGTCTCACTGGCCACAGCATCACTGCCCACCCTGATGTCCCAACCCAGGGCTAGAAATCGCTTACCACCCACAGGCCCAAGATCTACAGGGAGCTCCTCCGCCCTCCTGGGTCCAGGCCTGAGGCACTCTGGGCTGGCTGCTTTCCTGAATATTCTCCAGGGCCTTGGACAGTCCCAATCCCCAATGTTGTATCCAGTCTTATGACTCCCATGGGAGAGGGGCTCTTTAGAGACTAGTAGATGTTAGCGCTTTCCTTGAAAACATTGATCCTGCCTTAGTCTGGGGTATAAGCCACCAGTTAGGGGCTTTTGTGAGGAGGTGTGGGGTTGGGTCGGCTCCCAGATGGTGTGCAACTTGTCTTCAGGCCAGCAGCATGGCCCGGGCTCTGAGGAGGGGACTTCTGCCGCTGCCAGGCCCCTCACTGGGAGGGTATGGCACACTCCTCCTGGGGGCCCCGTGCCCCCTGCGCTGCCATGGGCGAGTGTAAGCTCAGCTGCAGGGGCTACACTGAGAAGCTCAATGCCTGGAGCTGCGCCAGCCCCCGATGGTCAGCCCTCATGCCACCCAGGACCAGGGGCTGCCGCCCAGGACAAGAAGCCCCAGAGGAGCTGGCTCCAGGGACAGTGTGCATGGCCCTGACCATGGCTTTGGGGGAGAGACTGTGTGGAGGGCCCAAGCCAAGAACACCGAGCTCCTGCCTTTGCCCACCCGCCCTCTGGGGCCCTCCTGGCCCACCGTTTCTGGTCACCTTTGTGCTGTGATGCATGCACAGGTGGTGCCGCAAGCCCCACCTCCCTGCCTGGAAGCAGCTGGGCTGACCCTCCCCATTGCCCCCAGGCTGCAGTGTCCTCATGCAGCCTTCTGCCTGCACTGCTGTGTCCTCTTCTTAAAGACACCAGCCGCAGGATGCAGGGCCCACCCTAACCCAGTACAACCTCACTGTAACCTGATCCCATCTATGGACGCTATTTCCAAATACAGTGACGTTCCACGGTTGTAGGTGGACATAAGTTTTAGGGGGACACTGTTCAGCCCACTACAGTGCCCGAGAAGAGGAGGGAGGAGGATGGAGGAGACGGGAAGGGGTCAGGAGGAGAGGGAGGGTCGCAAGAGGAAAGAGACTGGAGCAGGACGGAGGGCTGGGGATACCGGGCTGCAGGGTCCTGCCCGGCTGGCTCCAGACCCGAACGTGGGACTTGTAGGCTCTGTGCTCCATGTGGAGCAGCTGGTGCTGCCCTGTCTGGACTCTGCCCCATCTGACAACCACACCTGGATATGGCCCCCATCACTTCACCACCAGACCCGAACGTGGGACTTGTAGGCTCTGTGCTCCATGTGGAGCAGCTGGTGCTGCCCTGCCTGGACTCTGCCCCATCTGACAACCACACCTGGATATGGCCCCCATCACTTCACCGCTCAACTGTGCCTGCTCCCAAGTCCCTCCCCGGCTGTGGCCCTGTCCAGCTGGTGAATCCCAGAGGCTCGCCGTGCTGCCTGGAGTCCTCCCATGTGCGTGGGAGCCTCTGTCCAGCTGCGTACAGTACGGGACCACGGGCACCCGCTGCACGACACACCCACACACACTCACCGTGTTTCGTTCTCATCAGGACCCTCTCTCAACCAGGCCCTGACGGTTAGGACTTAGGTTTGGCTGCAGCTAACGTGAGAGCCTGCAAGGGGGCTGCAAGGAGACGGGGCTTGCTCCCGGCCACTCTGACCCCACTTTCTCGGGGCTTGCGTTGGGGCCCACACCCCTTCCCCGCTGTGTCAGACCCTTCAGGGGGTGTCTGGACACGGCTGCAGGAGGGGTGGGAAATGGAGTCTTTGTTCTCGGGGAAGATGGGCACGGCCGGGCTGAGGTTCTGAGGGAAGCCAGGGGTGGAGGGGAAGCTGGGCAGAGGGAGAAGTGGCTGACCCTGGAGGTTACCTGCAAGCACGAGAGGTGTGGTGGGAAAGAGGCCAGCACATGGTCAGGGTGCCCAGGAGGGGGACGGGGTTCAAGCTCAGGAGCTACAGCCTCCAAAGACTCAGGAAGACCCTGTGTAGCCCCAAACACAGTGTGATTCCACGGCCCTCCCGCCGGCCAGGCACTGCACGGGCCACGGAGGGCCAGCCTCGGCCTAGGCGAAAACGAGGTCAGTGACTTACCTTGGCCCAGTTAGAAAAGCTGCTGGTTAGAACTTTATTCCAAACTCTAAATCAGGAAACTTTAGAGCCACACATTGGTTTTTAGGGGAAAAAAGTTATCTTAAAAAAAAAAATCACTCCTTAAAATAATAAAGCATTTGATGAATTGCAGAGCCATGGATCTAAACAGTTTCTTTCACTTTTGTAAGTGAAGCATGATAATCCCTGGACAGCCACAACCCTGCCAGATGCTATGTGTGCCGTGCCTGGCTGGGGGGACTCTGTTCAGGTCTGGTGTGCCCAGGGTTTGAAGGTGTCATAGTGCCTTTTCATGAGCACCATGCAGGTGTTGCAGGAACACTGTGATCAGGCCACATTACAGGCCCTGACACACCCATGAGTTTGATGCTTCTTCCCACATCAGGACTGCGAGTGCAACACACAGGGTGACACAAAACAGGACCCTGCATTTTATCATGCACCATGACTGCACCTCTGAGCATTCCTGGCGGACATGGGCTTTCACACCCAGGATCCTGCCGTGAAGAGCAAGACAACTGCCACCTCTGACACTGGGAGTTACCACAGCCGCTGCAGAGGCCTGGGTTACAGCTGGGCGTCCTGGGTGTCCTGGGCTACAGCTGGGCGTCCTGGGTTACAGCTGGGCGTCCTGGGTGTCCTGGGCTACAGCTGGGTGTCCTGGGCTACAGCTGGGTGGCTTGAGTGTTCTGGGCTACAACTGGTGTCCTGGGCTACAGCTGGGTGTCCTGGGTTACAGCTGGGTGGCTTGGGTGTTCTGGGCTACAACTGGGTGTCCTGGGCTACAGCTGGGCGTCCTGGGTGTCCTGGGCTACAGCTGGGTGTCCTGGGCTACAGCTGGGTGGCTTGAGTGTTCTGGGCTACAACTGGGTGTCCTGGGCTACAGCTGGGCGTCCTGGGCTACAGCTGGGTGGCTTGGGTGGCCTAGGTGGCCTGGGCGGAGGCTCTGCCATCCAGCAGGCTTCAGAAGATGTGGGTTCTGGGAATGCTATTGTGCTGCTGTTGGAACCTGAGATTATGAGACTTTCCAAACCTGCCTCAGCCACTGCACAACCAAGATCTGCCAGGGCCATTTGCACGAAAACATTTACCTGTTAGAATTTCAGGGACATTTTTGGTTTATACCTGTGACTTATCATAATCTTGGATTCTCTACTTTTGGCTTTATAACTGATTGGTTTCTCTGTTCACCTTCCAATAAAACCTAATTTGAAGGGAAAAAATCATTCCCTGTGAGTCTCAGCATGATCTATTTAGGAAGGAAGAGCATTCACAGCACTGTCTTCTTTAACTCGTCCTCCGTGGGGGCCAGGGGGCAGTGGGTGGGCTCAGAGCAAGGTGA